TCTGCTTGTGATGTACACGAGACCCCCCCCCCCCCCCCCCGTCTCAAAAACTAAACAAGGGGCTGGAGAGATGGCTCAGAGGTTAAGAGCACTTCCTGCTTTTCCAGAAGAACAGAATTCAGTTCTCAATATCCACATTTGGCAGCTCACAATTGTCTGTAACTCCAGTTCTAGGGGATTTCATGGCCTCTTCCACACAGAAGACACTTGAACCCAGATGGGTACACTTACATGCATGCCCATACAAAATTTTTAAAAGAGTGATAATTATAATAAAGTAAAGCACGCTCCCTGGAACTTAACAAATATTATTTGACCTCCTGCTTCTACTTCTAAGAATTTATCTTGGAGTTATGTGTTCATGAACATGTAAAATAAGATGTGTGGTGACAGAAGTTTGCAATTCCAGCATTTGGGAGGAAGGGTCATTCTTGATTTACATACTAAGTTTAAGGCCAGCATAGGCTACATGCGACCCTTCATCAAAAGACAAAAATCAAAACAAAAAAACAAGATCATGAGAATTTGCATTGCCAATAGTATCTACAGAAACAACCCTGTAGAGCAGTGATTTTTCAATCTTTCTAATGCTATGACCCTTTAATATAGTTCCTCATGTTGTGGTGACCCCCAACCACAAAATTATTTTGTTGCTACTCAAACTGGAATTTTGCTACTGTTATGAATTGTAATGTAAATATCTGTGTTTTCTAACTGTCTTAGGAAATCCCCAAAAGGGCCATGACCCACAGATTGAGAACCACTGCTGTAGAGACTTGGGAGAAAGCTCAGTGATAAAGTACTTGCCATTCAAGTCTGGGACCTGAGTTTCATACTATACAAGTATGGGGTCCCAGGAATTGAATTGATGTTTAAAAAAAAAAAAAAAAAAAAGCCAGCTGTGGTGGCACACAGGCACACAGTTATACTTCTAGTACTAGGGAGGCATAGATAGGCAGACCTCTCGGGGCTGAACAACAGGCCAAGAAGAAACCCCATCTCTCTCTCTCTCTCTCTCTCTCTCTCTCTCTCTCTCTCACACACACACACACACACACACACACACACACACACACACACACACACGTCCTGTAAAAGTAAGCTTAGTTCCACCTAAATACCAGTACTGGGCTTGTTAATTATAGTGTAGCCAGTGGACAATAATTGCTATAATCTGTAAAATGGTGAATATAAAATTAGTGGCAAGTGGCAGTAGTGCCTCTTGTGAGGACTGGGTAATACATTTCAAAGTTTACTATATACTAACATCTAAGTACCAAATGTGAAATAATGCTGCTATTGGTGACTATTGCTGTGGTATCTACATGAAAATGATAGTAGACAGTTCATAGTCAGGTTTGTATGTCTGATGCAAGGTGTCATTAGTAGCCCAGGCTGGCCTAGAGCTAGCAATGATGGTCTTGCCTCTGTCTTCCAGTGCCACTGTGACCATCTAACATTTAAAAACTTTTTAATTTCCTAGACACAGGGTTTCTCTATACAGTCCTAGCTGTCCTGCAACTCACTTTGTAAACCAAACTGGCCTCGAATTCACAGAGATCCTTCTCCCCCAAGTGCTGGAATCAGTGATGTGCATCACCCAGCTAATTTTTTTTTCACATGTGAAGAACATAAGTATTTTTATTTGTTTATTAATGTAAAATGCTCATGTGAATTTGACTGATATATATTCACGTATAACTTTCCTGTCATATCCACAACTTGACAGATGGGTGAATCCAGAGGAATGGCCATGATCATCATATGAAGCAGACTATATTAATATCTCCAAAGTTAATTCCAATCCATTTCTTCTTTTATACTCCAAAATATCTTCATTATGTTGTTTGATGAGATAAACCCACAGGAAAACTGTGGTGCCCAAGGTCAGCCCATCTTTCAGCCAAGTTAGGTTTGGCACTGGCCGGCTCCCAGACTTTGACTATGTTGGAGAGCAGCTCTGAAGTGGGGCGGGGAGCAAGAGCCTCCCAAAACGGGCACAGAACAGTGGGCAGTGCCATCTTGCCCCATGACCCAGCTACTTTTGTTTTTGTTTTTCAAGACAGGGTTTCTCTGTATAGATTTGGAGGCTGTCCTGGAACTTGCTCTGTAGACCAGGCTGGTCTCGAACTTACAGAGATCCACCTTCCTCTGCCTCCTGAGTGCTGGAATTAAAGGTGTGTGCCACTATCACACAGCTCCAGCTAAATTTGTTAAACCACACATATTTATTTAGTGTGGGAGGACACAACTGACTGCCATGGCAAATGTGTAGAGGTCAGAGGACAATTTGCAGGAGCCAGTTCTTTTCTTCCACCATGTGGGTTCCAGGGGTTGGTGGCAAGTGCCTTTACAAGATAAATAATCTTGCCACCACCCCTTTTTGTTTGTTTTGTTTTGTTTTAGGGGGCACATGGTTTCATGTAGCCCAGGCTGGCTGAGGTGGGATTTTTATAAGAACTTGCTTCTTTCTGGATGGTGGTGGATCACACCTTTTAGTCTCTCGGCACTCAGGAGGCAGAGGTGAATCCTTGAGTTCAAGGCCAATCTTGAATTCCAGGATAGCCAGAGCTACCCAAAAACCCTGGATCAAAAAACAAAACAAAACAAAAACAAACAACAAAAAAAAAAAAAAAAAAAAAAAACCCACCATCACCAACAAAGGAAATTGCTTCTCCTTTCTGCTCATGTCTGCTGAGTCTTATTTAAAGACTGACTCAGTGATCTGAGTGGGACAGTCAAGCAGTGTAAACCAAAGTGACTGTGCAGCTGGGAAGAACACTGTTAGTAACAATGAAACCCTTGAGCCTGGGAGCTTTATTAATTCAAGCTTTACTCTTTTTATTTTATCTGTGTGAGTGTTTTGTATGTCTGTCCACCTTGTGTGTGCTTGGTGCCTGCAGAGACCAGATAAGGTGTTAGATATCCTGAAACTGGAGTTACAGATGGTTGTGATGAGTTATGTTTGGGACCAAACTGAGGTCCTCTGGAAGAGCAACCAGTGCCCTTAACTACTGAGCCATCTCCCTAGCCCCTTAAGCTTTACTCTTAGATAAGCAACAGGACATAGGTTACCTTTTTTTTTTTTTTAATTTAAAAAATTGCTTTTTTTAAATAGATTATCTTATGTACAACATATTGTGTTTTGTTTATTTGGTTTGTTTTTTCAAGACAGGGTGTCTATGTATAACCCTGGTTGTCTAGGAATTAAATCTATAGACCAGGCTGGCCTTAAACTCACAGGGATCCATCTGCCTCTGCCTCCTGAGGGCTGGGATTAAAGGCATGTTCCACCATGCCCAGCACAATGATTCATTAGAGTTAAGCATGGTGGCTCCTGCCTGTAGTGTCAAATACTGCAGAGACTGAGGCAAAAGGGATCACTTGAGCCCAGGTCTTCTAACCTAGACAGAAAGGAAAGAACTAGGCTTAGCAGTGTACACCTGTAATAAAGCACTTGGGAGATTAGGCAGGAAGATAGGTTCAAGACCAGTTTTTGCTACTCATTAAGGTTATGGCCAGAGAATGACCTACAGGAGCCATGCTTTCATTTTTGAATGAGTTTATTAAGTATATGACAAACAGAAGTAAAAAAAATAAATAGCAAGTGATAGATTGTGTGTGTGTGTGTGTGTGTGTGTGTGTTTGAGAGAGAGAAAGAGAGAGAGAGAGGAGAGAGAGAGAGATATCACCAAATCTTGGGAAGTTCCTGATTGCATTTTCTCCCTGTGGATAAGCTTTCCATGCTGAACTTCCTCCAGCTTGTTTTTCTTACTCTAGGCGCTTTTATATCATGGACTAAATAATAGTAAGATCTCTTAACATGATTCAGTTTAACCATTCCAAGAACAAGATGTTTTTACTCTTGAGCTGTTTTGCTGTTCTTTTCTCTTATCACAAAGTTTGGAGCAGGCAGCCCATCTCCAGGCAGCCTTGGAAAACAGAAAAATGTGCTTGGGCCTGAACTTGGAGGGAGGAACCCTCCATTCTATATCGAGTTTTTCAGTGAGCTCAAATGTAGCATAAGACAATTTGCCAGTATAATGTACATTACAATAGGTTCCTGTCTCAAGAAAAGAAAGAAGAGAAGGAGAAAAAGAAATGTGTATGAAAGATTTAAAATGCTGAGGCAGGGTTGTGAGTTTCAAGACAGCATTAACGGGTTGGGTGATGATGGTGGATGTCTTTAATCCCATTGGATCTCTGTGAGTTTGAGACCAGCCTTGTCTACAGAGTGATTTCCAGGACAGACTCTAAAACTACAGAGAAACCCTGTCTCCAGGGGGAAAAAAATGTATCGGAAGAAAATTAAAATTTATCAAGTGTTGGAATACCTCACTATTAGTGGAAAATCACTAATCATATATGTATAGCATGTGATCAAAGAGAGGTGCTTAACATGTAGCAGATGCTCAGGAAATGCCTGTCTCTAATGTTTAAATTCTCCATTATAGAAAAACCTCCCCAGAGCCAGGCGTCTGTGGCGCACGCCTTTGATCCCAGCCCTCGGGAGGCAGAGGCAGATGGATCTTTGTAAGTTTGAGGCCAGCCTGGTCTACAGAGCGAGTTCCAGGATAGGCTCCAAAGCCACAGAGAAACCCTGTCTTGTCTCGAAAAAGCCTCCCCCGCAAAAAAACCCAAAACCTCCCCAGTTCCCAGTGGGCAGACTGCCAGCACACTGATGAGTTTCCAACTCCGGACTGTCCTCAGTTACACATCACGTTTTCCATGTAACACCTACTGGTACTTTTTTATTTTTCTCTTGACAGGATTTCATGTGTCTTCCAGTCTGGCCTCAAATTGGTCTTGAACTCATAATCCACCAGACGGTCTCCTGAGTGCTAGTATTACATGGAAATTCAAGGGCAGCCAGAGAAATAAAAGACCCTGCTTTAACAAAAGCTAAATGATATCATTTTTTTTTTCAAAAGATGAAACTGAGAGGCACAGAATATTTAAGCTTATTTATTTTTATTGAGACAGTCACTTCACTGTTTCCCAGACTGGCTTCAGGAGCCTGATCCTTTTGGCTCATCTTGAAGTACCTGGGATTACAGGTACATACCATTACACTCTAAGTTCCTTTTAAACTATCCCTTCCTGTTCTCATTCTTAGCTGTCCCTATAGGTGTATTACCTAAACTCCCAGTCTCTCAACACCACTTCTCTAAACAGTTCAGCTCAAGGTCTCATTCCTTCAGCTCGTAGGCTAGTGCTGCTAAGCGGCTTTGGGTAAGATCTCCCAGAATGTCTTATGGGTGACTGATGATCGCATAAGCATTTATAATCCCTTCCCCATCTGATCCTAATCCCTTCATGAGTATCTGTCTTCCAGTAATGCTTGAATTATAACCAGTGAGTATGGAGCTGTTTTATTTATTTTTTATTTTGTGTGTGTGTGTGTGTGTGTTGTGTTGTGTTGGGTGCATACATTCCTTAACATTGGTGTGAAGGTCAGAAAACTGTGTGGAATTGGTTCTCCCTTCCCACCTTTATGTGAGTGTGAGTTCCAGGAATCGAATTCAGGTTGTCAGGCTCATGTGGCAAGTGCTTTACCCACTTGTCTAGCTCCTGGCTTTTTTTTTTTTTTTTTTTTTTTTTGAGAAGTGGCCTCACTCTGAGCCCAAAAGTGCTTATCACCTATTACAGTCCTTACTACATAGTAGACATTCAATATGTCACATGTGTTATTAAGTCTATCACAAATGTTACTTTCATTATTGTTTATAATGTCTTTTTAAAACATTTTTATATTTATGTGGAGATCAGAGGACATTTTTCAGGAGTTAATTCTTTCTTTTCACAGATGGGTTCCAAGGATCAAACCTGGATCTTCAGGCTTTTTATTTGTATTAAGCACCTTTACACTGAGCCACCTGGGATCCAGCATCATTTTCGCCCCCCGACCCTCTCTTTTTTTCCCTGGCTGACCTCAAACTTCCTTTGCAAGTAGTTACATGGATTACATGTGTATACCATCATAGCCTGTTCTATATCAATTTTAAAAATTTTACTGTTTAGAAAGGGTGAATTTAATTCAAAGAAGAGTAGAGTTGGTGTATGCCTGCAATCCCACATTTAAGAGGTGGAGATGAGTATCAGAAGTTCAGGGGCCCCGACCTACATGAGACCCTGGATTCAAAACAAAAGTGGTGAGGGTGTGAATTTAAGGTCAGCTTGAGTTATGTAGGCAGTTTTAGGTCTACAGAATGAGACTCTCAAAAAAGAAAACCAACTAAATATAAACTTTAAGTTTTTGTGAGATGTCTCAGTTATTTTCAGCTAATCCAGTCTTAGAAACATAAGCTTATAAATGGAAGAAGTCTTTTTATTATTTTTAGAACAGTGGCCATCTTTGTCTTAACCATCTGAATATTTACTGACCCTGATGGTGGGTCAGAAGTATAGTGCTTACTTTGGTACTCAGGGCCTAGTGCCTGGGATTTATAAAAAGTTTCACCTTACTGGGCATAGTATCTTATGTTTTTAATCTGGCAGAGGCAGTCAGATCTCTGTGAGTTTGAGGCTAGCCTGGTCTACAGTTCTGACAGGGCTGTGTAATGAGACCCAGTCTGTGTGAGCTGCTTTGTGTCAGGACAATTAAACATTATACAGACATTGTGCTGTTGAACTAGGACTTTGCTCCCCAGTTTGTTTGCTTTTGCTAGAACTTCCCAGGATCCTTTGATGAGGAAGTCACTTAAAGGAAATGCTTTCTTTATCATTTGATTCCACTTCTGATTTTTTTCCCATTATTACCCCTTGCATCATCATATTCAATTTCCTCCAGTTCCTCTGTTACAAAAGCATGATATGTGATGCAGTATCCAAGAATTTAGCACCACTGAGTTCTGACGGCTACTTCAGACACATGTTTTATTTTTCTCAGCACTGGGAGGATAGAACATTGTGAAATGGTTTTTTTGTTTTGTTTTGTTTTGGCTTTTTTGTTTGTTTGTTTGTTTTGGTTTTTCGAAAAAGGGTTTATTTGTATTGCTTTGGAGGCTGTCCTGTCCTGGAACTTGTTCTGTAGACAAGGCTGGCCTTGAACTCACAGAGATTCGCCTGCCTCTGCCTCCTGAGTTCTGGGACTAAAGGTGTCTGCCACCACCACCCGGCAAGCATTTTGAAATTCTTAGATCATGCTTTCAGACATGAAAGTTAATAGTAAAATTAGAAATTTTCTTCATGAGTGTTTTTAGATTTTCTGTTCTAATTTCTTTTTCTCTTGAACTCTTTAGAGATTGTGTAAAATTGGTATATACTGTTTGAATTTTTTTGGTAGTGGTGGTGGTGGTGGTTTGTTTGTTTGCTTGAGAGGGGATCTCACCATATATAGACCAGGATGACTTCAAACTCACAGAAATCTGCCTCTTGAGTGCTGGGATTAAAAATGCATGCTACCACATCTGACCCTTTATTATTTTTACTAAGAAGACAATATCTCTGAATTTGAAAACTCACTGGGAATGGTGGCACACACAATTATATTTCCAACATTTGGGAGGTAAAGGAAAGAAAATTAGGAATTCAAGGTTATTCACAGTTGCCTAGCCAGGTCCAGGCCAGCCTGGGATACATGAAAGTGTCTAAAACAAAAGAAAAGTAAGTAAAAAACAAAACAAAAAGCAGAGGGAATTCTGAGGGCTATTGCTGTATAGCACAGAGGCAGAAACCTTTCTATCATATGCAAGGCCTTGAGTTCTCCCCCAGCATGGCTAAAAAAGCCAAGAATTTGATTCCTGTGTTTCTACTTCCCTCCTACAGATGTGTTCAGATTTAAATTTCATTAGCTATTAGCTTTTCTCCCATTGGTTTTAGTCAAGGATATTGTCAGCCAACACTGCCTTATGCTTCTAACAGTGATATACTTTATTGTTTTTGAGACCAGGCTCACCTCACTGGGCATCCTCCTGCCTCAGACTTACAATTACAGGCACTTCTGGTTTGTGCCACCTATTCTGGGGTTGGTTTGTAGTCTTGACATTCATTACCCATCATCACTACCAACATGTAGAAAAGGGAAGGAGGGATGACTGTGGGCAGAGGACAAGCTTCAAGGAGTGGGGGAAGGACCCAATCAATAGTAGTTCAGGCCTTCTATTAAAAATTATTTATTTTTATTTAATGTGTCCAAGAGTTCGCCTTGGAGAACAAAAAAGTATTGATTTCCCTCCAGCTGGATCATTGTAACGATCCCTTACATATCTTTGTAAATCACATGTAGGTGCTGGGAATTGAACCCATGTCCTCTGGAACAACAGCACATACTCTTAATCTGTGAGCCATCTCCGTAGCCCCGCTCCTCATACTTTCTGGACATCATTTTTCTCTTGGTTATTATGGTATGGCATGCTTTGGCTCCAAAGCCTTCCTTGCTTACTCACTGTGTTTCCAAATTTCACTGTTTTTGTTCTGGGAGACAAGGTCTCATGTGTAGTTCATACTGGCCTGGAACATCTTGAGCGCTGAGATTACAATCATGTGCCACCACATCCTGCCTGAATTTCACTTCTTGTTTGTAATCCATTCACAGTCACGTTCTCTTTGGCCTTTTGTTTAGGTGACAGTTCCTTCTTTCTACGTACCTGGCTCATGACCCCACTTCATGTTCCTGAAACTCCAGCGGAGTATCGCTACAATAGGGCCCATTCTGCAACTCACAGTGTGATGGAGAAGACTTTGCAAACCCTCTGCTCTAGGTTCCGATGCCTGGATGGATCGAAGGGAGCACTGCAGTACTCACCGGAGAAATCCAGCCACATCATCTTGGCTTGTTGTGTCCTTCATAACATTTCTCTGGAACACGGGATGGATGTCTGGTCCTCTCCAGTGACTGGACCCATTGAACAGCCACCTGAGGGCGAGTATGAGCAAATGGAGTCGCTAGACTTAGAGGCTGACCGAATGCGGCAAGAGCTGATGCTCACTCATTTTAGTTAGTGTGGAAGAGGGAGGAAGGAGGGAGACTTTCTAGAATGAAGTAGGAGAACTTTTCCCCTTACCATCCCATCACCAAGTTCTGTCATTCAGTGTGACTGAATGTGCACTACTGTCATAAGCTAACGTTTAACATTTTAGAAGGGGAAGGGGGGGGGGAAGGCATGCCAGCCCTTGCACTGTGTCAGTTAGACTGAAACCAAGACAGTGTTTCCCTAATATTCAGTGAATCCCAGGCTGTGCACTACTCTTTAGAAAGTTCACTGGTTGCAACAGTAAAATCATAGTAAAGTAGAAAACAGCATATATCCAAAGCATTTTTTGTTGTTTTCAATTATCTGGAGATCTCAAATGAAAAGTGTTGGTCCTGACTTTTTTCTGTCTGTCTCCCTCCTTCCCTCCCTCCCTCTCTCCCTCCCTTCCTCCCTCCCTCTTTCCCTTCCTTTCACTCTCTCTTCCTTTCTAGTTAGTTTGAGCACTGGCTGTCCTGGTGCTCACTATGTAGCCCAGGTTGGCCTGGCACTTGCAGCAGACCTCCTTCTTCAACCTCCTAGGTGCTGGGATTACAGGTGTAAGTGGCCATGCTGGTGTCCTGATTCTTTGTTTCTCTCCTTTGCTGTCTACGTAGGCAAATAGAAAGAACAAAATTAGTTGGAGAAGACACATAAGTGAGCACTTGCCTAGCATTTGTGAGGTATTGATCCCTAGAACTTAAGAAAGAAAGGAAAGAAGGAAAGAAGGAAGGAAGGAAGGAAGAAAGGAAGGAAGGAAAGAAAATAAATTAAAGAGAAAGGAACTATTAGTCTGCATTTGCAGGATTGTTTTGAAGAGGACATTAAGGACAGTGGGAAGCCACCATCCTTAGCATACCTGCAATATTTGAACTATGTTTTGGATCTTGTTCCTAGAGGGAACACCTTAATTCTATGTCCTAGTTTACACTTGAGTCATAAAGGGTAAATGGGGTTAAGGACTGAGTCAACTTGAAGAAGGCAATTCAAATATAGGTAAAATACCACAGTTACACTTTACAGAGGATTTAAAGACTCTGGCAGTTCAGTGAACAAGATTCCCACAAGTTCACAAAATTCATATCTAATGATACTATTTGTTTTTTAAATTAGCACTTAATCATTTGTGTGTGTGTGTGTGTGTGTGTGTGTGTGTGTGTGTGTGTGTGGTAGGTGCATGGCACATGTGTGAAGGTCAGAGGACAACTTGTGGGGGTCACTTCTCTTCCACTTTGTGAATCGTAGAGATTAAAGTCATATCAGGCTTGGCAGCAAACATCTTTATCAGCCTAACATGTCTTTCTTTTTCCTTTTTTCTCAAGACAGGGTTTCTCTATATAGCCCTGGTTGTCCTGGAACTCTCTTCTGTAGACCAGGCTGGCCTCAAACTCCCAGACATCCACTTGCCCCTTCCTCCCAAGTGCTGGGATTAAAGGCTTGTGCCACCACTGCATGGCTCACTTTTCTTTTTTCTTTTCATTTTATTACTTTGTTGATCAAGCTGGCCTTGAACTCACTAGCTTAGATAGATCTAAAACTTGTAATTCTCCTGCCTCAGCCTTGTGAGTAGCTGGTTTTACAGACCTATGCCAGCAGATCTGCCTTGGTTATTTTTCTTATGACTATGGTGTGAGAATATGTAGTCTATTTTGTAATTCTTTGAACTGGGGACAAAAAGGATCTCAGAGTCAGTCAGTCATATTGGCTCATGCTTATAATCCCACCACTCAGGAGGCTGAGGTGGTTACATTGTGCTTTCAAAGCCAACCTGTACCTCATAGTGAATTCCAGGCAAGCCTGGGCCACTGTGGGAGCCCCATCTTTAAAAAAGCAGAAGTACAAAGCATGGCTTGAAATAAACTGCAGTTAGACTTTAGAATATTATATGCACAGTGATAGACAGAACTTCCCAGGAAATAAATAATCCCCTAACAAGTTTTGTTCTAAAATCTCACTGTTGTAAAAATAACCTGATAGGGATAATAGAAGTGTGAATTAGGTTCACACATTAGTGTCTTTGCTGGAACTAAAAAGAGATTTTCCTGAGGATTGTCTTGTTCCCAGTTTCTCAGCCACTCATCATGTGACACCTCTGAATTGGCCTCTTGAATCATTTTCTACCTGCCTTTGGCACTGTTAATCTGGTGATTTCAAAGTGAACAGCTGATGACAGAAGAAATGTGGAAATAAATTGACAGTGACCCATCCTCAAGATTAAAAACAATTATGGATTATTATCTGCTGTTTATTTCCATCCCAAATGCTAATTTTATTTCTCATCTTTATCTTCCCCTGGAAAGAGTGGGTCTGTTGGCAGGAGAGTGGATTCAACCAGTATAAGGAGATCCTGGAGGTGGGAGGGTGCACAGTCCATGGGAAACTACTTTTGAGCATTACACAGGGAAGACTTTGTTACATTTTGTTCTTCCTACATTTTTTTTCTATTTATTTTGAGATAAGATCTCATTATGCAGCCATGCTAGCCTGGTACTGACTGTTTAGCTCAGGGTGGCCTCAAATTCAGCAGTCTTCCTACCTTAGCCTCCCAAGTATGGAATGTGCCACTGTACCCGCTCTGTGTGGGGTTTTTTTTTTTTTTTTTTTTTTTTTTTGAGGAAGCAGTTGAAACAGTCTGACTATGTAGCCATATCTGACTTAGAACTCAGTCTATAGATCAGGCTGGTCTTGAACTCATACAAATCCACCCCGGTCTCTGCCTCTGGAATGCAGATTAAAGGCCATACTCAGCCACCTGTTTGTTTTGTTTCAGTTCTTTGAAACAGGGTTTCTCTGTGTAGCCTTGACTGTCCTGGAACCCACTCTAGATCAGGCTGGCCTCTAACTCAGATCCATCTGCCTCTGCCTCCCAAGGGCTGGGATTAAAGATGTGTCATTATGCCTGCCTTTGTTTTATTTATTGCTGAGAAATCATATCCCAAACCTAGCATGTACTAAGCAAGCGTTCTACTTAGAGCTATAACTTCATATTCTGCAAAACTTAACAAAAACTTGTTTTGTTTTCTTCGTAAGGTATGTGGCCTATATTATCTTCAAACTTGTCACCTGCCTGCCTCAGCCTTCTAAGTGCTAGGATAAAGAAACAGAAAGATATTAACACTGTGTGTATCCACATCTCGGGGGCCTGCTTTATTTTCTAGATTCTACTAAGATTTTACAAAATTGTATAAGAGTTGACATACTCAAAATTAACATTCTTCAGTCCAATTTTCCTTGTTTAGTCTTTCTAAATTCTTTCCATGTGATTGACAGTGATAAGGTCTATTTTTAGGACGACTATCTTGGTTTGCTGAGAGCTGTCACAATTTTAGCACTGAAAGTCCTGTGTCCAGCTGATCATTATAACAGGAAGAAACTTGGGGGGGGGGATCATTACCCTACTACCTTCAGGGGAGTATCTCCACAAGGAGAACCTTCTAGAATACAACAATCAACAACCAGTACGATAATGAGCTATAGGGTGTTCATGCCAGTGTGCAGAAGGACATCAGGTTGATATAACTCCTGCCCACTGGTTTTCTAGTTAGATTCTCCAGTGTGAGAGGAATTCTAGAGGCTTGAGGATTTCAGCTCTGATCTTTGTTGTTCAGTCTGATCAGACAAACTTACCTGTAAGAACAAGCAGCCATTTATTGTCAAATTGAAGGTTAATTCTATACTCAGAAAAACTTCTCCAAAGAAGTTGATAGAATTTCTGCAAGGTGAAGCCATTTCTTTTTCTTTTCCTCCCCATTTCCCTTCTCTCTGCCCCCCCCATGTTCTACTGTGCTTTTCTGTTGCTGTGATAAACAGCATGACCCCCAAAAAAAAAAAAAAAAAAAAAAAAAAAAAAAGGGAAAGGATTTATTTTACACTTTATACTCTATCAGTGAGTTAAACTAAAACAGGAGTCAATGCTGGAACTTGGAGCAGAAACCATGGAGTAATACCACTTACTGGCTTGCTCTGATTCAGTCAGATGTTTTGCTATATAACTCTATGTAGTTCCAGCTCCAGGGGATCCAACACCTCTGAAACAGGATCAAAATTCTGTTCCCAGCGTCCACATCAGAAGGCTCACAATCATCCATAACTACAACTCCAGGGGGATTTCAAGCTCTTTTCCTGGCTCGTTGGGCACCTACAAGCATGAGGTGTACACATATACACACACTAAAATAAATCATTAATAAAGTCTTCCCCAATTCAGGCAGTTTACATGCAGAGTATTTCCTGATTACACTGGGCTGTTGTCTGTATGCTGAACAGGATTTTTCTGTTACTTCTCCCATGCCCCCCCACACACAATGTCCAATTATTCCCATGGGTTCTAAGTTTTTAGATCCTATAAGAGAGTCTTTATCACAATCTAATTTGTACTCTTTCCTTATGGAAGAAACAGAAAATTGGAACTCCACTCATCATCTTCCCAGGTCCCTTCTTCCAAACCAGGGTGGCCTTGAACTCACAGAGATCCACCTCCCTCTGCCTCTAGAGATCCTGGATTAAAGGTGTGTGCCACAAATGCCCTGCTTCAAAAACATTAAAAAACAAACAAAAACACTGGTACTATGTAGCCCTGGCTGGTCTGGAACTCAGTATATAGACTGAGTTGGTCTCAAACTCACAGAGATCTGCCTGTCTCTGCCTCCCTCATGCTGGGGTCAAAGTTGTGCACTGCCACATCTGACTCTTCATTTTCCTGATAATTCAGAAACTAGTGAAATTCTTCCTTCACGTGGGTACCTTCTTTCTGAGAAAATAGCTGAACCTCAGTTGCATGTCTTATGACAAAGTTCACATAGCTGATGCCACAATGTGCTTACAACCCCATTCCATATATTCTAGTTTCAGAGATTTTAATATCTATTTGGTTTGGAGAGATGACTCAGTGGTTAAGAGTACTGGCTGTTCTTCCAGAGGACCTAAGTTTAATTCCCAGCAACCATGATGGCTCACAACCATCTGTAATGAGATCTGGTATACCCCCTTCTGGCATATAAGTGTACATGCAGGCAGAACATTGTATACATAAAAACTAAATCTTTAAAAAATATATGTGTCATGTATATGTATGTGTATGTATATGTATATATATTGTGTCAGCCATTGGAGGGTGGTGCTCCTGTACTAGGTCCCATTTGTCAAGGAGACATGTACTCCATACCATACAGGTCAGAGGTTTTCAATTTGTGGGTCAATTTGTGGGGGTTGAATGATGCTTTCATAGACATCAAACATCAAATAAGACCACTGAAAAAACAGATATTTACATTATGATTCATAAAAGTACCAAAACTACTTAT